GCTTTCAAGCACATTCCGTTTGGACCAGGTGGACCGAAAGGCCGGGTTAACCCTCGAGGGCCAGCTGGTCCCGTGGAGCCCTTTTCTCCTGGAGGTCCAGCCGGCCCAGTAGACCCAGGGGAACCTCCCAAAGAGGCATGAGACACACCCATTCCTAAAAGACGATAGATTTGGCGTTCACTGCAGGAAATATTTTTGAACCTACCTTAAACTTAATTTCATGGATGACATACGCGCGCGCATTGTTTTCGCCTGTCCTAAAAAAAAATCACGTCTTCCGAAGCTCTGGCCATTCCTACAAGATGATAGATTTGGCGTTCACTGCAGGAAATCTTATCTTTGAACCTACCTTGTAGCATACGTAAAGATTGATTTATTCCCTCACGTCAACATTTACATGATGATGAATCCGTGCGTAATAAACATTTGAATTCTTCAAGCTTTAAGTGGTTGAGCTGAAAACAAACTAACGTACATGTACACAAACTATAGATATCACAATAGACTGAAATTAAATGTTCGGTGGAATTTTGTAACCCTCTTAACATGGCATGACAGTACTAATGCATACTTTCTTATATTTGTGAACAACATCTCATATCATGGTCTATTACGGGTATTCTATGATATCATGCAGGACATATTACTCACGCTCAAGTTCAGCCTGTAGTAGCCCAGTCATCCTGTCTGGTGACGCAAGTTTGGCCACCTCATCAGAAAGCGCGATCACTTTAGCTATATTCAAACAACAGCAACAAGAATAGTATGTTGCCTTGGTCCTGAACAGTGATATGAAATTCTAAGAATATTTTGCAAAACTGATGCAATCATTGTATTTATTTGCAGACAATGAAAACTACTGACCTGTAACATATGACAGCAGCATGGCGTTGGCCAGAACGTACAGAAACACCACGGTTAGCCACAGCTTCTTCCACAAACCGTTACATTTGGCGACACTTTCCGTGGTCGCATCGCAGGGATCTGTTTTAAGAAAAAAATACTAACGGTAGTACTACTGCTGAAGACATAGACGAAACAAAAAAACAGAGATTCCATATATAGACTGGTTTATTGTTGATGAACAAATAAATCCCAGGACCCACTGGCAGCCGAGATGCATTCGGCTGAATGTTTGGGTCTGGTTACAAAATACAACATTATTAGCTGTTTACACACATAGGGATAAAAGTTAACAAATGTTTAAAATCTTCAATACACCATACTATTATTACAAATATTGAAATATCTAAAAAAGAGTAATTTATCGAAAGGTTCTTAAAAAACGTTACAGTAAAGATAAGATTTGATAAGTCCTCGTTGGTACTAGTATCAAAATTTTGCATAATTTTCATGCGTATATATTGCATTAATAATGTTCACAACAACTGTTGACAGTGTTGATAAATGTTACCTGAACGGTAAATACTGTATGGGTGGTGTCACAATTATACTACACAATACAGGCATACCACCGCCACCCCCCTTTGAAAGTAGTGTGGTATAGTCTAGTGCACAACAGCTAGTGATACTAGTATACGATACCACACCACATACAGAACAGGGATTTATTCGATTTTAATGATAGTACCTGGAATCTAAACCCAAAAAATTAACCATGTACAGAAAATCAAAGAAATTCGTCAAATCCACCATGACTTATAACTGCGAACACACAATACGGACGAAAACATTACCTTCCCGCGGAAGGATTTTTCCTTCCCCAAGGTAATAAGACATGTTAAAGACGACAAAGAGAGGTCTCGAAGATCATACGTAGGTCCCCGATGGCAGCTTAAATGTAATTAAATGGATTTTTTGCATAGGATATTCAGCATAGCATATTGGTAAACGTAAAACTCCAATTAAGAAAGAAAGGAAAAAGAAAGGTCTCCCGTGCCCTTATGCAGAGCGTAGGGTGGTGCCCATCTCCATTTCTGTAGCCCTTGGGCGACACACAGTTGTGCAGGGCACTACAACAGGGGGCTAGCTATAGTCCGCTGGTAGTGCTGTGTGTTTGACCAAGGAGCTTTCATCATGGTTTGACCTTCCCACACTCTTTCTCATATGTGCTGAGTGCTAAGCAGAAAAAGGAGTGCGTGTCATTTTTAAAGTCTTTGGTATGACCCGCCGGGGTTTGAACTCACGATGTCCCGGTTAATTGAGGTAATGCACCGATGCACAGGTAATAAAAAGTAAGCAACACTAAAATGTTCCTATAACCGGACTGTGACAGGAAAATATTTTACCTGCCCCATAGCCGTACGCAGGGTTGGCGGTTGTAGCATCATCGGTCTCCGACTCAGTCTGAGACTGCTGCATGCGTGTGGTGCCTGGAGAAATATTTTTGTCTACAATTATTATCTAAAGTTATGGATAAGAATTGAAACAATGAAATGAAAGAATTAATGGAGATATCTTAGCCTCTACCAGGCTTCGGGAGGCGGCTGGAAAGAGTAGAGATTGGCCAAAAAGAGAGATAACATGCCGAGGGAGTTGTCCGCAAGAGAGTACATTTTGCCGCAACATGCCGCGGATCAACTCCCTCGGCATGTTATCTCTCAATTTGGCTAATTTCTACTCTTCCAGCCGCCTCCCAAAGCCTGGTAGAGGCTTGGGACATCTATAAGTAGAAAATCTTAATATTGGAAAAAGAAAATTTTGCATGTAATTTGTCTGATGAATGCGTTACCAGTTGGCATGATGTCTTGTTCTCCGGCTTCCTGACAGTGAAAGAACAACCTACTCCAGGCAAGAGGATTTTTGACTGCATCACAACCCCAGACCAATAGTCATAACAGCCTTGGAAACATGATTAGAATACAAGAGATGAAAGAACCATATTGTATGAATTCAAAATATCACATTTTCACAGGGTAGGCATATGAATAAGTAACTGTTGTGGTAGCTGAGCACTAAAAACAAGTCAGTGAAAATAATCCTTCGCTTTTGAACACCAAACGATTTAAAGCTTTATGCAACGAATCGAAATAAAGAGTGAAATTCTCAAATTATATTCAGTGTGATGCCATCGTGGTAATACACATTTATGAAACTTATATTCATATTCAATTTCCACATATTAGCGGCAGCGACAAAGCATCAGAAATGTTTTAACCCAGTGTATCAAAGGTACCTGGTCCCTTTGATTTTTGGTGAGGCCTTGACGAAAACATTACATACTGTATGTTTACGTTGGTCAGTATTTTGATAACTAAAGTAATGGTTCTGTCCATGGGCTCCTCATATCGGCGAAATTTTGATAGAGTTTTTGTGATCACACACACACATACACACACACACACACACACACACATGCACACACACTTACACACACACACACACGACAGGCATACACACGCACTACTTTTAGTTACACAATATCTACATGTACTTAGAATGAAGGCACTGTATTTATAAATTCCCTAATATTCTAAATATTCTAATATTCTAAAATTATAAATTCCCTAATATTCAATTGCTTTCAATCTTCAGGTGTTGCTTTTCAGTCTTTTATTCCCAGTTTCATTTCATTTCAGTGTGGCCCAGTATTTACATTCAATACTGACACCAGTACATGGTTTGGCAGTTCGTGGCTAATATTGCAGTTCTCAGGTGTCTTGCTAGGCGGCCAGAGCACTAACTAGCCTAATCTCCAAGCAGATATTGAAAGGGGATATCGTATCCTGTTCCTAATCCCCAACCTCCTCCGGGCAACGTAAAACTGAACAGAATGCCAGTCCTAGTGCTTAAAACACAATCTTTGTAACAAAACAATTCGTTTGCTATGCAACGTGCCAATAGTTGGTACTAACATCTTAATTAACTAACAACAACTACCGACGGAAATGTGGGCTCTAGCTCTAAAAATGAACGCTCAAATGCTACGAATCTGCTGAGAACGAAACAAAATTGGCAGCATTGATTCCGAACCGAATTTAGATGAATGGACTCCGTGCAGTCAACTATGTTCGAACTGCAAAACAGACTATACGACGTCGCTTGACATTTCAGGTGAACTTTAATTATGGTGAATGTAGCTTGTATGAGTCAGCACATTACTGTCAGTTCATTGAGCATATTGTATGTGCTTGACGCGTCGGAATTCACCCTGCTCGTGAGGTCGTCGGAAAACCCCGAGACACCCAAAATAGCTGACCAATCAGGTAACGTCAAACAACTTGTCAACCTGTTGTGCAGCTCGTATTATGACCTTTGCACGTGTTGGAATGTGGACGCTACATACTAGGACGCTACATACCGGACATTTCTATTTTGACGCTATTGAGTCCAATGTTCCTGTCCACAGTTGACAAAGAACCATGATAATAACTATGATACTGAATATAAAAGAGACATAGTGACATATATTTGCCAGGTGGCTAACAAAAGAGCGGTCGTCCTGTCGGTCACCTAGCCTACACGGACCAGGGATTCCCCTTACTTATCTTAGTTCCCACGTTCGTAAAAATGCCAACTTCAGCAATTTGACAAGGAAGTCTTCTTGATTCTGGAAACTCCCAGCGCCGCGTGACCTGCGTGCTTTGACACTGCTATAGTATAGTTAGAGGTCTTTATGACTAGAATATGGCACTTCAAGCATTTGGAGGTCAGCGAAGGTGCGATTGAAGTTGTGCAAATATTTGATTACTTTTCCTGTACCTACACAGCCAGATTCGAATAGTCAGCTGTTTATGGGTAGTTTGTCTTGTTGTTCTGCCTTTGGTGCAGATATTCACCCCCGAGTTTCTATCGGTAACTCCCGATATGACTCACGGTGGGTGACATATTGGAAAGTCCGGGCGAGATCTGACCAATCAACGCGTACTCCAACTTGACAAACAACCAAACTTACACGACGAGGAAGTGTTCCGCATTTACCTAGCTGTCACCTGTGCTGGGACAATGCTGCATTCACGCAGTCCTCGGTGCAATTTAGCTGTACATAGTCAATCTCACCTAGCTACCTGTTAATGTGTAGGGAGAAGCGTTTTTAACAGCCTTCCGGCCACGGACAAGAACATCGGTTTGCGGGGCGTCACAGCAACGTTGGCCCACCGGGGACAACCACGTCGTCCGCCAACCACGAGAAACAGAGGTACTTAAGGTGACCACACCTGAAAACTCTCTCTTTCCAGTGGTGCAGGGGTAACGTTAAGTTTGAAATTTGCATGATGCTTCCGACGTGCCGCCCCGCTGTAATGGGCATTACATTGGCATTACATGTGAGTTACACTTTTAAACCAATGTTTACGGCCAAGTACTGTTTTATAAAAGGTCAAACCAAGAACTTGTAAACCTCTAGTCCTGCGCCAGTAATTTTATGCTGCTTGCAGACCACCGTGCGAAGTGGCAATTGACAAATCTGTACCTTTAAGGAAGTATAGCAAGCGTAAAGATTGGCTCAGGCAGTCACAGATAAATTCGGGGCTCCTACGAAAATCGTCTTCCTCATGGATCCGATATATCTAGATAGTTAAGTCAAGTTTTTTTGTGAAACAGTTGCATTGGATAAAAATTACATTGCGTACTAATCTAACTTCATCTATATCAATACAATCATACACAGGTTATGATGGAATATTACAGATCACATTGCCATAGCACGGTTTCTCTTTTGCCTAGCATTATGTACATATTAATCCGGATAAACAGATACAGAGTCGGTGTACGTGCATGATATATGCATGTTGAAAGATTTGAACAGACACGTCAGCAGGTGGAAATCCCGGGTGGGGAAAGTCCCTGACACATGGGTAAAACCGTGCGCAGTATGCCGGGGTGACGTACTCTGATTGTCCTACTCTTACCTTAGTAACAAGTTCCTGTTCACTATTCATAGGATGTAGTTATGAGGGTCGTTACTCTCGATATCACATTCACCTAGGATGTTATATATTTTGCGCTTGTATGGACATATGCTTACAGGAGGGTTAGTATACGATAACTCAATAAGCTATGGGTGGATTGTCATGATTGTGGATTGGGGGGGGGGCGCTTCATAACGTGCGCCATTTTCATGGAGGTAACAGATGACGGGAAATGGGAGTTCAATACTCATGTACAGTGTAAACATAGCATGAAAATAGAAAAATTATATCAAATGCCATAAAAGCAACAATTCAAAGTATAATACCCGTTCAGATGAAGAAGAAAATCTGTACGACTACATGTACGAAGAAGTGAATTGCTTGATGTGTTATTCTTTTTCAGAAATTCTGTGTGCTACCGGAACAGACATTGTACGATTTCAACATCAGAAACAACTGAAAGATTAGCCTGACAAATTCTGTCTGTCTAGATGAACTTCATTCGATGAAGACTTGTGTCAGTGCACAAAGTCATATTTCACAAATTAATATAGTAATTGGTCGTATGTTGCCTAAGACCCATCATTTGTAGTCTGCAGCTGATGTTTCACCATGTTTTGCCTCCTTTGCATGCAATCATGGGGGCAGGCAGGACGAAGCTGTTCATACAATTAAGTGGGAAAGTTACCTATGCATTGTCAAAATTCCTTTCTTTGAATTGAATGTCAACATGGCATCTGGCGGCTCCCACTCTATTCATGTAAACTGCCGAAACGAGATTAAGGAAGAACCAATAACAATTTCAAGGCTCACACTGAGTGAAGAAAATCAGGTAGGAGATGCTGCTGAGTCAAAGGTTGCTAACATAGACAGTTTCAAGTTTCGTGATCTTCAAACCAGCACCAAGCTGGTCCATGGAGACAATGCTGACAGTGACATGCTATATGAGAACAATGGCTCTCAGGGTAGTGAAAGCAAAGATGAAGATAAGCATGACTTCCCTGGATGTCAAAAGGAAGCTCTAGCCACCAAAATTCAAAACGGCAGCAGCTTTGGTCTGCAAAGTGGCAATCCAACCAGAGAAGGTAACAAAACGGCACTGTGTAGTATGGAAAATCGAACATCTGACACCGACTCGTGCACATCACCAAAAGAGGTCATCAACCAAACTGAAAAAGATCATGGGGACGTAACTGACACTGACCAAATTGCTGATGGTACTCCAATGGCACCCCATGGCAATGTTGAACGACAGGAAGACACACGTGACAATGGAGACCTTCAAAAAACTCCATGCAGCCAGTTAGCCGTAGACCTATTCCAGGATGGTAGTGGGGGAAGTAAAACCTATCAGGGTCAGCTGATCGTAAAGCATCCATCAACGCATGCATTTCATATCAAAGATGGTGGTACCATTCAGATTGATGAAGCATGTAAAGTCATTGTTCAAGAGAAGATGAAAGTAAAAAATTCATCTGGAGTGCAACTGGGGAGAGACAATATTGTACTTCGTCGGCAAACATCAAACAACACAGGAGACACCGACGCATTGTCGACTGCTGCTTCAGAATCCCCCATCCATTCCAGCAACAAAGAAAAGCAATTCTCTGGCAGCACTATTCGGGTGGGAGAGGCTGATACTATACATGTGTACAGGGAATTTGAGTTTGAAAATTGTCACGGGATGCAGTTTGGAGACGACAACGTGACTAAGATGGTGGATCCTGAGGATTCAACAGAGTCAAACCCTGGTAAGAATTTAAAAAAAAACTTTTGAACCATTTTTGCACTTTTAAAAACTAGGCAATTCTCTTTACATCAATACTTTCCAGGGCAAAAAATTTCAATTTGTTTTGAATTATATACTGTATGTAATTATGTCTAGGCTAAAATCCAAAGTAAGTAAGGGGGTAGGATGATGGTGATGACAATGCCATCCACTGTGTATATCTATGTATGTCTATTCACCTTGACAATGTATCAAATCTGCTGATAGGTACATTGAAAGTCATATCATTCTATATTTAACATGCTTATTGTGAGTCAAATGTTGTGAACATTTATAATGAATTTATTTCAGAAGTCATGTTGACTTGCATATTTTTTCTTAAGATTTAGTAAATGTCTGCCTGGATCTTGACATAGATGACCGTGATGAAGATGACATGTTTAAGAAGCTGGGAAACGAAGATTGCCGTCGAGAATTCTGCAGAAGACTGGCATCGCGGGGTGGAGCAAATTGTGAACTTGAGGAAGCTACCAGGGGCTGCATTTTGTTGAAAATGAAAGTACCAACCGAGCAAGATCGGCTTCGACTTATCCAAATGGCCAAGGATGGAACCTTCAAGGACATCTTTCTGGAAACATTCTTGCCAGATTATGCGAAGCGTGGAAAGAACGTGCGTGTAAACCTCGCCATCGCAGTAACAAATCCATCCCAAGCAATTGTCGATGAAATGAAAGCGCCATCAAATGGTATGTTGTCATCATTCAACATAAGTAAATGTCTGACTACAAGAAATCAATTTTGAGCTAATGCTGTTTAAGCTGTTAACATTCAAGTACTGTCCAGTAATTGCTGTTGGGCTGTCTTTGTAGCAGCTTTCAGAGGTGAAACTAGTGCGACATTTAATTTCTTTTCATTATTCATCAATAAGGTCACAAGGATGTTGTCATTGTGGAGGTTGGGGGTCATCCAAGTACACCTGGAATCTTGCGCACTGTGTCTGCATCGCCCCTGTCAGCATCACCCGAAGAAATAGATGACCAAGGTGCATCACAGTCCGGGGAAAACATGGACTCACATAAAGGTTTGCAGATTTTGGTGTCTTTATTCCCGTTCTTCCCATGTTGGCAGCTTGCACTTGATGTAGAACGGAGTACTAAGTAAACTTAATTTTCCCCACAGACCCAGATGAGCACCTGCAGGAAGAGGAGGACTACCTGCAGGTGCTGGTGGACGGTCCCAGAGTAACACCTGTTGGAGCAGAAGCTGCTGAGGATGTAGGAGCGTTCCGAGGTAGTAGTCATACTCATAATGGTACTGATTGTTGACTAGTGAAGATTTAGACTCTCCATGTGTCCATATGCCAAAAAAGGTTCTCAAGCAACTGGATATGATTTTGGAAATGGTCAGACATTTCAGGTAGCATCCAATACCTTTTGTCAGTGTGTATTGGAAGGTTGATTGGGGTTGTGTATTCTTTTTGTTTTCTTGGTTTGCAAACTTGATTATGATATCTTAAGAAGCTATGAATGAATTTTCCTCCTCACAGAGAAGCCACTGCCACCTACCCCAACCTCCAAGATGGCATCACCCTCGAAGGGTTGGTATGGACAAGAGGGGCCTGCGAGACCACCTGTTCCCCTGCTCAAGGAAGGCACAAGGAGCCCCAAAAAAGCCCTGGTCTCTGCCTACATGAAAGGTGTTTCTACCTTGCCCCCACATCATACTGAATCAAAGGGCAAAGTGCCGTCTCCTCCCTGGAAAGAACTGAAAGGACCTGGTGTGAAAAAAGCCAGTGAACCCATCGACGTCACCAGTCCAGGCCGGACATCCGGGAGAATGGTGTGGCAAAGAAAGACTGGAGAAGGGAACGCAAGAGACGCAAAGAACGAGAAGAAAGAAAGGTCGGGCATGGCCAGAGCTCTTGGTGCAGAAATGACCCAAAAATTTGGGGGTAACTGGCAAGCAGCAGCAGCAGTTTGCAGGGGTAACTGGCAAACAGCCAAACCCAGAACTCCAGATAAACCAGTTCCTGCAGTGAAACCTGGCTTTCATCCAAAGCCGGGCCTTACACCCAAACCAGGAGCATCCCCAAAGCCAGGATTGGCACGAAAGCCAGGACATCCTTCTCGGCAAGGCATGAAACCCCTGGTACGACCACGCAAGCCACAGGTGTGTGACCATTGTAATAATTCATTATTGATAAGATTGGGATAGTATAGGTTTGTTTTTATCCAGGATCCACACTTTTCTGTGGGTTTCTATCTCATGCATCCCTTTGGTTCTTGGACTTTGGCAAAAATATCTTTAACACATGTTATTTGCTAACATCAACTCTCATAATCATGAGGGTACCCTAGGACCATCACACTCTCACACTGAACAAACAGTGTTAACAAGTATACACTGAACACCTTCAGTTGATGGTTAAAGCTCTCTTTAAATCCAGTCTTTTTATGTGGTGGTATTTTGGGTGTGGAATTATCAGAGTTGAGGTTATGCAAAATACTGGGTGCAGCTTAAAAGTTTAAGTTCATCTTGAATGTTTGTGTTGTTTATAATTTACCATCTCAGGTTAAAGTTCAAGAGATCATGGAGGAAATTTATGAATATGAGGAGGATGAGGAGGTTTCTGTAAACAACCAAGGAATCAGGTATTCGTTTTTTTATATTGAAAACTTGATAGAAGCAAGATACCTTCAAAACATTGAATGCTTGAATCTGAGACGTTTCACAGGTGTTTTGCGTGTTTGTGAATCTATTGGAACTGGAGGGGGGGCTGTATGGTGTAATTTATCAGGAATTAAACCTGAATTCCTCTGCCCACTTATTCCAATGCAGCACGTGCTTGGTCACCTTCAGACTTGACCTTCCTATCAATTATCTGTTAAAATTATTTGCAACCAAAGCAATTAGTTTGAACACCGTTTTTTGTGTGCCAAAATTTTAATAAAAGTATAAAGAAACATCTGAGACAAATACTTTCTCCCTACAGGAGGACACCCCCTGAGGGCAGCAGCTTTTCGAAGAACTTAAATGAAGATCCTGAAAGTGAAGTAAGTATCATCATTGTCTAATGTTACGTGCATAACAGCCTTTACAGTGAAGGAGCACATGTTATACCTTTCACCCCATGCAAATACATTCTGTATTCAGTGTGTGTTTCTGCGCTCTCCTGATAAAAGATGCCTAGTTCAACGTACAGAAAACTAATAAAAGTTTAGCTGATTTCTTCATATATTCCTGATTGTGAGGTAAGAGGACAAAACTCAACTAACTTGTGATTGTGGCATATGCTTTGCACTTTTTCTATAATAGATTGATGATGTTATGCCAGCAGTTGTATCCGAAGATGTTGATGTAGAGAAAGCAGAAAGGTAAGAGAAGTCTGTATGGTACCTGTCTTTTGGGGCATGGAGTAAGAAGGATTTATAAGGGGAACGGGGTATTATTTTATAGACAACTGTAATTGTGTGAGGAAGACAGGTATACTGTTTGAAGTTGAATTAGCTAAATGTTTTGGTGATGAAGTACCATCCAACAAACTCTGTAATCAAACAGACATTCCTTTGTACTAATATATGTTTATAGATTATCCATATTACAAATGCTATGTATTTGCTGAAATTTGGTCAACTCTTTCACTCCATTTGGCTAACGTGTACTTCCTGTGCCTTTTCCTACCACAGCTGTTTGAGGTCCAGCCAGGTGAATGGAAAGTATTTTCTCAGGCCAAGCAAACAGGACAAAGGGAAAATGGTAGGTCTTGTTGTAGTTGTTTATGATGCTTTTGGATCCCAACATAAGGTGTTCAAATTCTGAAAATTTTGCATGCCACAGGTATGGATTGCAGTCCTCAAAAATTGAAGCTATGCACCTAGTTCATGACTGTGGATGCACTGGGGCACATAGATGTTTAAGGATTTGTGTTAGGTTATGTACATTTGAAATATTATTTTACACTAGTGTGAAGCATATTCTCTACATTTTAGTGTCACAAAGAACACATTCTGTTCTTTTTTGCAGGTTCTTGTAGTGTATGATCGTGCTGGCCAGAAGTACCGGAAATTCAAGATGTATGGATTGGTGAGTTGGAATGATGGGAGTGTAACAGTTACTTTATTCCATATTTTAAAAAAAAGATGAGGCAGTTGTCCTATCTGTAAAGTACCAATTGACTTCTTTCAAAACAATTGTCATCCTTCTTGAAATGGGTACTAGGTGAATATTATTCACTTAAGGTTTTTTAAATATTACAAAATGCTCAAAATTGACTTGTTTTACAAACATCTCACAGCAACTTACTGATGCATGATGACATCTTAGCTATAGCTGGATGCAAGAATAGTTAGACCTGTTAGACATGGTTTCTCAGTGCTTAGTTTTTTTTTGTTGGGACAACTGTTCAAAGTTAATTTATTAAGACCTTCTAGTTTTTTCAAGTCACTACATTGTTTGTAGCTAATCGTTCTGTTTTGTTCCTGTTAGGGTTATCAGCTGTACCTGCATAAGGGTGCACCAACGTTCTTGTCCATGTCTGACTTACTGAGACACTACCAGTACCACAACCTGCCTGTGAAAGACGGAGTGGAGATCAGGCTGACGGAGCCATACCAAGGACATTAGCAACAAGGTCATATCCATGGAAACTATCGTCTGCTTCAGTGGATATTTGGTTACTATAAATTATCTTTTCATCCTTTTGCCTCAACCCATATAGTTGGGATTAATATACCACTTGCTAGCTAGTATAGAACTACAAATCATTGATAACTAAAGAATAATCTGTAAAGATGAACATTAGGGGCATGTTTTCTGTAGGCAATGTTGATTCCATCCTTTTTCAGGGTGAGGATGGTGCTATGGACCAATATGGCAGTATGTAGGTAACTTGAAATCTTAAAAATGATTTTACAGATTACACATTGAGTAATAGAATTTTCTTCAGGAGAATACTAGAGGGCGTTCTACGTAGTGGAAATACAAGTAATTATAGTAGGTATTCCACAATCGTAATGTTTGTTGATGACCTATATGAATCTGCAACACATGTAGGAAACATGTTAAACGAATAGGAAGAATTATTGTTGCTTTATTTTATTTCAAAGAAGGAAAAGCCAATACAGGTGAAAAGTGGATACATACAAATGTTTAAAGTGTAGCATAACTAGTCTGAGGATGGTTATCGGTATGTACAATTGGTGAACATAATGCGTGATGACCATTGGGACTTGTTTGAATCATACTTGCTACAAATGTCAGGTGATGTAGTTTGGTTCCACTTTTATATGCATATATATGAGTGTTTTAGTACATTGAATCATGGAAAGCACCAGGGGGAACAATTTTTCTCTGGTCTGGTGTATTGCACTGAAGGGCAGTTATACAGGTTATACAGATACAGATACAGACCTAAAGGTTGAGGGGAAAATCTTAGGTTGTTTGGTACAATTGGGTGTCTTACATTTTGAATGTAATTGGGTATGTGACCTTACTTCTAGGTGCAATTCTGGTGTTATGCTGGTGTATAAACATTTTCTAAACTTTTGAAAATTTTGTGAAAAATTTGATTGTCAGATAGATAAATGCGCTGTATAGGTCTTCCACGGTGGAATTGTAAGTCGTGGGCAATCATATGGTAAATGCGGTGTGAATGGTGCGTTCAGCACCGAGGACAGGCCCCTTTAGCTGTGTGAATGGTGCGTTCAGCACCGAGGACAGGCTCCCATTAGCTGTGTGAATGGTGCGTTCAGCACCGAGGACAGGCCCCCATTAGCTGTGTGAATGGTGCGTTCAGCACCGAGGACAGGCTCCCATTAGCTGTGTGAACTGTGCGTTCAGCACCGAGGACAGGCCCCCATTAGCTGTGTGAATGGTGTGTTCAGCACCGAGGACATGCCCCTTTAGCTGTGTGAATGGTGTGTTCAGCATCGAGGACAGGGGCCTTCATCTGTGTGAATGGTGTGTTCAGCACCAGTGACAAGGTCCTTCAGCGGTGTAAATGGTGTGTTTAGCACCAAGGGAAGTGAATGGTGAGTGAATGGTGAGTGAATGGTGCGTTTAGCACCAAGGACAGGGTTCTTCACCTGTGTGAAGGTTCAGCACCGAGGAAAGGGTCCTTCACCTGTGTGAATGGTGTGTTCAGCATCGAGGACAGGGTCCTTCAGCTGTGTGAATGGTGTGTTCAGCATCGAGGACAGGGTCCTTCAGCTGTGTGAATGGTGTGTTCAGCACCGAGGACAGGGTCCTTCAGCTGTGTGAATGGTGTGTTCAGCACCGAGGACAGGGTCCTTCAGCTGTGTGAATGGTGTGTTCAGCACCAAGGACAGGGTCCTTCACCTGTGTGAATGGTGTGTTCAGCATCGAGGACAGAGTCCTTCACCTGTGTGAATTGTGTGTTCAGCATCGAGGACAAAGTCCTTCAGCTGTGTGAATGGTGTGTTCAGCATCGAGGACAGGGCCCTTCAGCTGTGTGAATTGTGTGTTCAGCATCGAGGAAAGGGTCCTTTACCTGTGTGAATGGTGTGTTCAGCATCAAGGACAAAGTCCTTCAGCTGTGTGAATTGTGTGTTCAGCATCGAGGACAAAGTCCTTCAGCTGTGTGAATTGTGTGTTCAGCATCGAGGACAAGGTCCTTCAGCTGTGTGAAGGTTCAGCACCGAGGACAGGGTCCTTCAGCTGTATGATTAATGCATTCGGCACTGTGGACAAGGTCCTTTAGCTGTGTGAATGGTGTGTTCAGCACCAAGGACAGGGTCCTTTAGCTGTGTGAATGGTGTGTTCAGCACCAAGGACAGGGTTCTTTACCTGTGTGAATGGTGTGTTCAGCACCAAGGTCAGGGTCCTTCAGCTGTGTGAATGGTGTGTTCAGCACCAAGGTCAGGGTCCTTTAGCTGTGTGAATGGTGTGTTCAGCACCAAGGACAGGTCCCTTAAGCTATTTGAATAATATGTTTAGCACCAAGGACAGGGTCCTTCGGACAAAAGACAAAAGAATAAATGAGAGCATTGTCTTGTCTTCTCTCTTCATTTTATCTCCCATTTACGTTCCGGCATGGTAACAGACATAATTTGCCCATTGGGATGTTGGCAACAAAATATCTTGTTGTTTTTTATCTGAAACCAGGCGACAAGTAATGGGAGCGCTGATTTCATCCATGAAAATTACTTGCTGTGGCCTTATCGTTGGTTGTTGATATTACTGTAATTGCTAAGATAAATGAATTATAAATAAACTTTTGTGTTTTTTAAACATTAACTTTGCTTTCTGTCCTCCCTAAATAGACGATCCTTAGAATACTAGTAGATGGTTACAGTACAAGTTTTGTTATATATTCGTGAATACATACTGATAGATATATAATGTACATGCAAACACACAACATAAATTTTGCACAGGACTTCACAATGCATTTTATTACAAGTCCCAACCATGTCTTTAACCTTGTTCCAGTTGCCTAATCCCGTCAACAATAGAGAATTGGCAGCACAAGGACTACGTGTAATTCAGTGTGCTAAAAGTTATAACAAATGGTCTAAGTGGCCTAAATGTAATAAGGTTGTTTTAGAACTGTGGATATGAACATTATTATCCTGACTAGGCACACTACAGGACAAGTCCTTCACAACTGCAGTTACAATATCCATGTCTTTAGAGTCGTCTTTGCGCTCAGTGTTCATGTGAATGCTCGCTGATGACACATCTGTGGCGTTACTAGCGGTACTGATGCTGTGATTAGCTCGGCACACCTGGAGCCGGTTCTGATGGGTTCCGCCGGGAAAGGGAGAGCGGTTCTTACCGCCCACCATGCTGGCGCGTCCCTTCCGTTTGTTAAGATTCACATTCAGATTTTCTGAATATCGACTGTCGAATGTCACAATGCATGAAATATGTCGATTGTTTACAACAGGCGCCCAGTTATTACAAATAGAAAGCATAAAGTCCTACATATATCTACATAATTTAGCGGTAAAATACAACACAAAAATTTAACACATCAATAAATACAACAGCTAAAACATTCTAAAATCGCTATAAACAGAGAAAAATAACACCATAAAACCAATAGATAAACAAAGATCAGCTTTTAGACAATAGCTTAAGCGCACGAGGTACAAAAGACTGTTCGTGTCTTTTCGTTTTACTAGATGTAGAGACAGTGACTGGTTTACCTCGGCGCAGGTTGTAATTTCATTACGTCGGAGAGGATACAAAATCAAGCAGAGGACTATCAACATCCTTAAAGATGTTCTGAATTGTGCGTAAAGTGGCCTGATGTCGACTTGTGGACAAAGAAGGCAAAGATTTAACTGGGATGCGAATGATCCTACAACATCTCTTTTGCACACCTTCAAGCATATCTGAGAAACGTTGGTTCCTTTGATATTTGGGTAAAGCCTTGACGAAAACAACCTACGTTGTTTATTGTTTTGACAACTAAAGCAATGCTGTATGTCTCTATGATCCTGTCCATGGGCTCCTAGGATCTTCTTATCGGCGAAATTTCGGTAGAGTTATTGTGATGACACACACACACACACAGATAGACAGACGGTCACACACACGCGCTACTTTTACAATATCTACATGTACTTAGAATGAAGACACTATTTACTTTTCTTAAAGATTCCCCAATACGAGGGGTGTTCAAAAAGTTCTCGGCCTCACCTAGAAAATAAAGGTCAAACTCCTATTCTTTGGCATAGCTGTATACTATGACGTCTTACATCACTGCACACAAAAATTCAAATTTCTATATTCATTAATTAGCACGTGACGCCCCGTGAAAATGGGGTGGGTGAGGGAAAATCACAAAATGGCCGCAACAGACGCGTGAGCTCTGATCAAGTGTATCGACGATAAAGGATGTCTCCTAAGGACATCCATAAACACATGGTCAAGACACTTGGTGATGACTCCCCTTCTTATTCAACTATTAAGAAGTGGGTTACTAGCTACAAGCGCGGCAAGGACAGCGCAAAAGATGAACATATGTCAGGATGCCACAAATCAGCACCACGGACAATCCAGTTGAGGCCATCCATCACATGGTAGTGAATGACAGATTTGAGACTGGCCAACATGTAGCAGGTTCTTTGGCCTGTGTTATGACTCAGTTCACAATGTTTTGTCGAACATCCTGGGGATGAAAAAACTGTCTGCATGGTGGGTGCCTCTAATGTTTTTTGAACATCAGAAGTTAAACAGGCTGGACATTTCAAGGAACGAATTCAGTCCAATCCATGCAATTTCCTCAAAACATTTGTACCCCAAGAAGAGCTGGGTTCACCACTTTCAGCCCGAATAAAAACAGCAGAGCAAACAATGGATGAAGAATTTTTCCAGGCCCCCCAAGAAGTTTTAGCGAGTTTCGTCCGTTGACAGGGTTTTTGCCTCTGTTTTCTGGGACAGTAAGGAAGTAATCATAATTGACTACATGCGAAGGGGTTAAAGCATCAATGGGGAGTACTATTCAACAGAATTGCGACAGTTGAGTACAACAGTCAAAGAGAAAAGGAGAGGAAAGCATTGAGCTGGCGTGATGAAAATGCACCTGTCCTCACAACACAGGGGTCAGTGGCAGCAGCAAACGAATTTGGCTTTGAAGTCTAACCCCACCCTTCCAATTCACCTGAACTAGCACCCTTGGACTTCTACCTGTTTCCTAAACTCAAGTTCCCCTTATGTGGTCAACGTTTTGATGGTAATGATGACGTCATCTATGCGGTATAGGCCAATCTGGGGGGTCCAGATGCAACCTTCTTCCACAATGGGAAAATAAAGCTGGAACATCACTGGACCAAGTGCATTGCAGTTAGAGAGGACTATATTAAAAAATAGTGTAAGAAAAATTTTACTGCCCTGACGTTTTCTAGGTGAGGCCGAGAACTTTTTGAACACCCCTCGTATACAACTTCTTTCAATCTTCAGGTGTAGTCCAGCACTTTTCAGTCTTTCATTCCCAGTTTCATTTCATTTCAGTGTGGCCCAGTAGTTACATTCTAGTATTGCAGTTCTCAGGTGACTTGCTAGGTGGCCAGGGAACTAACTAGCATAAACTCCAAGCAGATGTTGGGATATCGTATCCTGTTCCTAACCCCCCACCCTCCTCCGGGCAACGTAAAACTGAACAGAATGCCAGTCCCAATGCTTAAAACACAATCTTTGTAACAAAACAATTCGTTTGCTATGCAACGTGGCAATAGTTGGTACTAACATCTTAATTAACTCAATTCCAACAACCACCGACGGAAATGTGGGCTCTAGCTCTAAAAATGAACGCTCAAATGCTACGAATCTGCTTAGAACAAAACAAAATTGGCAGCATTGATTCTGAAGCAAATTTAGATTAATGGACTCCGTGCAGTCAACCATGTTCGAACTGCAAAACAGGCTATACGACGTCGCTTGACATTTCAGGTGAACTTTAATTATGGTGTATGTAGCGTGTATGAGTCAGCACATTACTGTCAGTTCACTGAGTGTATAGTATATGTGCATGACATGTTGGAATTCACCCTGCTCGTGGGATCGTCGGAAAACCCCGAGACACCCAAAATATCTGACCAATCAGGGTACGTCAAACAACTTGTCAACCTGTTGTGCAGCTCGTATGATGACCTTTGCACGTGTTGGAATGTGGACGCTACATACTAGGACGCTACATACCGGACATTTCTTTTCTATTTTGACCCTATTGAGTCCAATGTTCCTGTCCACAGTTGACAAAGAACCATGATAATAACTATGATACTGAATATAAAAGAGACATAGTGACAAATATTTGCCAAGTGGCTAACAGAGGAGCGACCGTCCTGTCGGTCACCTAGCCCACACAGACCATGCCAGGGATTCCCCTTACTTATCTTAGTTCCCACGTTCGTAAAAATGCCAACTTCAGCAATTTGACAGGGAAGTCTTCTTGATTCTGGAACCTGCGTGCTTTGACACTGTTACAGTATAGTTAGAGGTCTTAATGACTAGAATATTGCACTCCAAGCATTTGGAGGTCAGCGAAGGTGCGATTGAAGTTGTGCAAATATTTGATTACTTTTCCTGTATGTACCCACAAAGCCAGATTCGAATAGTCAGCTGTTTATGGGTAGTTTGTCTTGTTGTTCTGAGGTTGGTGCCGATATTCACCCCGAGTTTCAATCGGAAACTCCCGATATGACTCACGTGGGTGACGTATTGGAAAGTCCGGGCCAGATCTGACCAATCAGCGCGTACTCCAACTACTTGAAAAACAACCAAGCTAACACCATACGATCGAGGAAGTGTTCCGCATTTACCTAGCTGTCACCTGTGCTGGGACAACTCTGCATTTACCCAGTCTCGGTCCAAATAGCCTCAGCCAATCTCACCTAGATACCTGTTACATGTGTAGGGAGAAGCGTTTTTGATAGCCTTAAACTTCCAGGCACGGACAAGGACATCGGTTTCCGGGACGTCATGGCTCACCGAGGACGTTCAACCCCCGTACAGACCACGAGAAACAGGGGTAAGTTTCTACGTCTTTTCTAGACCTTTGGAGCTAGAAATACTCAATACGCGCATTTGCAGGTGTGATTTTTTTTTCTATCCCAACAAGAAATGGCGACGACACATTTAAGAACGGACAACAGGTATACTAATTTTTTTACCCGAGTTAAGTGAGGAAATTCGTGTCAAGTGCGAAAAGATCGGTGGCATGGCAGGATTCGAACTCGGGACTCTTGGTTCCGAGCCGACCGCTCTGTCCGCTGTTGTGTACTTATATATAACTTGTACGTGTCCGCCTGCAGGGTACGTTGGCTTGTTGATTTATGTTTGCTGTTGTGTTTTTGGTTTGCAAATCAGCTGCAGAGTAATGTACGATGGCTTGGTTCGAAGGTAAACGTCTTGCGTACCACCAAGACAACCTATGATATTATTAATAGACTCAGAAACTTTCGAGTGACGTCATTCGCGTATCAGTCAACCGCTCTCCACACATGTACAGTTGAAAACATATATTTTTGTTACGTGATGACGTCCGATTGAAAATACGTCATGAATTTTGAAGTATGATGATCAAAAATTGAATTTGAAGCCACAGTGGCATTTTAATGAGGTTTTTCGTGACTGTATAAGTTTTCTTGCCCAGCACCCTATGTGCATTGAACCCAGTAACTATAGGTTTAGTAGCCCTCATGCGACTTTATATCGTACTGCAGTATGCGATTACGCATGTATTTTTGGGCGGGGACTCCCCGTGTTGCGTTCACATTTTTCTATTCCAACATTTATCACAATACATGTCGACGGGACACTCAAGTTTCCTCAAACTTATTTCTATGCCGCCACCACGCTTTTATAGGACCTCCTTTTGGGAACAGCATGTTAATGTCAGGTTGTGATGTTGTCATTGTTGTTGTCGTTGTTGATCATTAATGGCCGAGACTTGGTCAGTGATGCTGACGTCACATTTCCAAACCGGGGCCCGGCCTGACTGTACTAGAAAGGCTGACATTTGCTTTGGAGCAAATGTAGCGGATGGCTTCACCACATTTTACGACACGGCAGGGAAAGAAGGAGAAACACAAGGGAAAACAATTCTTTACATTGATATTAGTCTATTAGTATATTACTATAGTATGAAGAGACAACGGTAGGATAGCTACATTATTGGATATAGGATTTTGGATCCTTTTCCTGCCATTTCTTTAAATTGATTCAACCTCCTTCATTTTTGGGCCAAATAACATGGAATTTGGCATGAAGGTAGAGTGGGCAAATACCCACAGGCGTTTTTTTTTTTTCATTTTTGTGATACAGGCTTTTAGAATGGTTTTCTTTTAGCTTTTTGGCTGTGTTATAGAAAATGTACTATAGCAGTGTGTTACCATATTTGGGCATGAGTCATCAGAATGGCATGCAGAGCAAGCAACCAATAGGCATGCAGCTTTCCTCTATTCTTTTTGCTGATTGGCTCTTGGGATTTGATTGGGTTAACTCAATTAACATCTGTACAAAGTCATGTCATATTGCCAGTATGAATTTCAAGTGTTTTGGTAGGTATGTCAATCTTTCCTGCTCCAGCATTGGAATGCGGGGCATAAACGCTTCTTTTTATCTGGAAAATCAACAGCTTGCATTATGCAATTAAAAATCCTATCCAATAATTTAGAGGTTAGATATCTAACTGTTGTTACTTCAATGTAAAGAATTGTTTTCCCTTGTGTTTGTCCTTCTTTCCTTGCCATGTCGTAAAATGTGGTGAAGTCATCCGCTACATTGCTCCAAAGCAAATGTCGGCCCTTCCAGTGTTTTATTGTCTTTTAAATCATACCTGAAATCGTTCCCGAAAGCTCCCCGGCCGGGCCCTGGTTTGAAAATGTGACCTCAGCATGACCTGTATTTTGTCTCGAGCTGCTCCAGTGAAGCATGAACTTGTATAACCTTCTGTCTTCACAGTTGACATCGTTGGTGACGGGAACACCGTGATGAAATTTGAGGGCGGACAGCCATATGTTAACGTCGGGACTGCGCAGGGATTTCTTGAACAAGGTAAGCATGTTGTTGTTCTGGACATACTTTCAAAATGTTGTCAGCAGTCTGACCACGATGATTAAATTCCTATTTCTAATCAGTGTCACATGGTTCTGTACGCCATTTAGCATTTTTGTTCAAACTTCATTGTATATCAAAAAAGATATTGGAGATATCTTTTGCATATATCTTTTTACCTCCATGAAAAATGTAGGTATTGTTTTGGCGCGTCTGTGTGTGTGTGTGTGTGTGTGTGTGTGTGTGTGTGTGTGTGTGTGTGTGTGTGTGTGTGTGTGTGTGTGTGGATGTCTGTGTGTGTGTGTGTGTGTGTGTGTTTCCGCACATTTGTAGTCAGCATAACTTCAGAACGCCTTTATGGATTGTGATGATATTTGGTATGCTGGTAGGTCTTAGGAAGCCAAAGGTCAAGGTCAAATATGGGCCTCCTGGTGGCTGACCTTGGTACTGGAACTTCCGTGAAAACAGATGTGCGGGATGGCAGGGAAAACAGATGTGCGGGGTGGTTTGATTAATGAGGTTCTCCCCCTGGAATAGTCTACATGACCATATTCAGGGCAAACGTGCTACTGTGTGTTTCAAAACAAAAACCTGTGTTATTTTGTTCTGTACTGTAGTGTACTGTGTAAAAACATTTAGAAAAACTAAATATAAAAAAATAAAAATGTATATTATGGAGGTATGAAATCTTCGAATTCTTGTTTCAGGATCCAACGACCGATGGTCATATGAGACATTTAGTAACGATGTCACCGGTTTCATCATTGACTTGTCCTCAACCACAGGGTCCATTCGCCATTCAGTCGAACACCGCGTACGAAAAGAATACTTACCAAAATTTCTATTGAACATGAAACGAGATTCTTCGAAGAAATTTTCAGAATGCAGGCGTGTATTGACAGAGGTTAGCAGCCAAGATAAGATCCCGTCAATCGCAAAAGCTAGTCTGAAACTGCTCAAAGAGCTTCTTCTGTCCGATCCTATCAAGGACGAAACCGCAGAAAAGCTCCTGAATCACGAAGAAATGTTTCGCAAAAGTTTGAAAGCCCAGGCGTTCGATCAGCAAGATCAGATTGAACAACAGCTCCGAGTGGAGACATATGCGTTGTTGTTGTCATGCATCAGCCTCCACTGCTGCAAGGGAACTTTGAACCCATCAAACAATCCCTTCCGGGAGCCTCTGACATGCGTGCGCGAGTCCCTAAAAACCATCAGAAGTGACACGCATGCTCTGAAATCAGCCGTCTTCTTTGCTCTCGAAGCCATTTCTCGGCTCATAGATTCTGACGAAAAGAAGTCTAAGGCACTGTCCACAAAACTCTCGAAGTTCTTAGCATTTGTCGAGGGCGAGGCTAAAAAGCAGGACCCCTTAACGGACAAGTTGATGAAGAAGGTGACTAAGTACGTCAACAGTGCCAGCAGTTACGACGAAGAACTGGCCCTCATCTACCTGTGCGTGTTGGTGAGTGTGCCACTTCTCAATCATTCTTCCTACATATCTGTAGTTTTTATAATAGTACTATTGGATGAAGTTTTATTGATAAGCTTTAATGTAACAGTTAGGTTTTAGACATCAAATTCAAGCATACAAATCATTACCTTAATGAAAAGCGGCCGACAGAAAAAATAGAGTTCCACGATCTCAGACCTTCGCCAATTCGAAGACAAGCTGCCGGAAGGGGGGGGGGCGCAAACTCACGTCACTTCTTCCCTAGCCCAAGAGCTACCTACCATCCAAGATATCAAAACCGAAAGTTCAGCTGCAATACCATAACAAGATGTCAGGGGGCCCAAAATCGAATTATTTCGAGGTCTCGTGAAGATCAACTACCTACCAAATATTAAGATAATCCATCATATAGTTAATAGCTTTCTTGAGTTAACATGTTGACAAACAGACACACGAATGCCCCCGAAAACATAATCTTCTTGGCGAAGGTAACAAACAAAACTGTTTTCACTGCAGGCACGAACAACTCCGGGTGGCCTGGTGTGCCTCCAGCTGCTCGCTGAATGCCGAATTCACCGCATGGAGACGGAAAGGAAGAAGTTGAAGTTCATGAGAAGCGCCCAGCACGAGCCCAGCTGGTCCGTTCTCTATCGGATCGCCTGGTACATGGTTCGACTGGCAAAGGATGTGGACACTCCGAAAGGTATGTATAGTATGTGCTCCTTTCGTAACATATATTGCTGCTGTCGCCCTCGTTACACCTGTGTCCTGTGCTTGCACCTGTGCTTTATCAATCAGAGGTCTTAGTATAGTAGCGCCTCTTATACACATGTGGGTGCCCTTCCGAAATCATTTTGCATTTTATGCTTCACTGTCATGGTCATCTAAGCATTTCACACTACATCTTTTAATCTTATGCATAGCATCTCCGTCAACATGATGACAAGTTTCAAATGTTTATGCTAACACAAACACATACAACAAGTAATATACCACGCCTCTCCAAGACGTCTGGGAAGAAGACTACCTGTCATACTTATGTATATAGATGTATCGACAATGTGATCTTCAATGTGATCTTTCTTTTTAGGAATCCGTATTCAAGCCGTGAAAGCTGACAGCCCCATGTCCCTGGGTTCCTTTTGGACCAACCCAGATCTGAAGAAGATCGACGGTTTCCAGACGGCCAGTTCCCTCATCATGGCGATGTGTGAGGAGCTCATCTACTCGGACATCCCCGAGATCGCTCAAGCAGTGACCAGGCCCCTTCTGGTCAGGGGAGGCGCGATTGACCACACCAAGCTCATGTATGTCTTCGTTCATTGAAATTTTTTGTAGTCCATACGCTTCTAGATCCTCAGTTATACACAAGAAATTTGCCAAGGAAAAGCATATCTTGAAACTTCATCTCTGTTGGTAGAAATCATTATGAAGCAAGTTTAAACTGTAATATCCAACACAACAAATTGGACTCACCCAAATTTTCGACTGTACAACTCCAGTCTTTGTCAAGGAATGAGCAATCGCCCCGTCTTTGTTGAGACGGGGGGCGCCACAGGCTTTCTGCAACCTATGACCCACTGCTCACGGAGTCACGCGTGTTATCTGGGTGACGTCACGGAATAGTGGATTGCTCATTCCTTGACAAAGACTGGAGTTGTACAGTCGAAAATTTGGGTGAGTCCAATTTTTACACAAATGCGCATTTTCCATTTTGCGCCTTGGATCTTATAGAGACCGAGTGCTCCCCAAACACCTTGCATACTACCACCGAAATGAAGACCTTGAGCTGTTTGAAGACCTGCTCCACCACTGCGACAACAGTATCATCTACCAGGGTGTCATGGGTGGCAAACAGAATCACGTCGCTGTTAAAGTTGCCAGGGTTCAAAACCTGGAGAGCTTCCATGCCACTAGCACGCCAGCTTGCGAAAGTAATTTTCATTACCTTTTGTTACTTCCGAACCAGTTTATTTCTTTTGTTTTATCTCCTTTTTTCACACGAACTTGGTATTTATTTTGTGAAATCTCTGTTTATTATCTATGAACCTTTATTCATTTGCATCTATGATTTGACATCTTAGTTCAAGGATCATTCTGTCTGTGCACATGAATTGTATCCTATCTATCATGAAAGTTCATCTGTGTTGGTAGTTACTTGTTTAAAGTTAAAACGTTTGGTCCAAGACAAAAAATTCTCTCACCTAGAGCTTTTGACCAGTCACTCTGGTCTTCCTCAGTAGACTGACCAAGCGAAGCTTGTCACGTGGCTTCTGTGAAGTGTGACGTCAACACTGGGTCAAAGGTACCTGGTAGACGATGCCGGCCCCCGTCGCGGTTCAATGAAGGGTGATTGGCCCTGATGTAAATGGCTTCCTTCACGCACCCCTCTCAAGAAATAGTCCTGTTCAGTATCCAAAATCCTTACAGTGTCAAGTAAAACAAAGTGTTTCGCCGGCCACGTGACAAGCTTCACTGGGTCAGTCTACTGAGGAAGACCAGAGTGACTGGTCGAAAGCTCTAGGTGAGAGAACTTTTTTTGTGTTGGACCAAAAGTTAAAACTTCTTGTCTTGACATCTAGGGATTCAAGATGAAATCAAAGTCCTCAGACGGTTGAAGCAGCATCCCAATATCGTCAGCCTGCTGGGCTTCAGTGTGCAATCTCCCGTTCACTACGTCATGGGTCTGACGACTCACGGCAATCTCCTGGACTACCTCCGTAAACACAGGAGCCCGGTGCTGCCGCCTCAACAACTGTTCCACATAGCGATACAAATCCTCCGGGCTCTGGTGTTCCTGCACGCAGACAAAACAGTACACCGGTATGAAGCAAAGTTCTTTATTGACAACCACGTGTTATAATTTGATAAGAACCGATGTTTCCATGACCATCTGCCATCTTCATCAGGGCAATTATTCCTAATGCATTGTGCGCTGAAGCTAGGTTATTATGTACCAGTCACAGTGAACCAGCCATAATTGCCAGGATGAAGATGACAGACGGCCATTGAAATGCGGGCTATTTTAAAACAAATGGTTGTGAATATAAAAAATACTATATTCAAGAATTCACCAACCTGATGAAATTATTCACAAAATAAATTAAATCTTTAATAATGGGGAAGAGACAACTGCAAATCTTATATCATTTCAAGACCCATCTCCCATGAATGTGTTTGCCTGTCATTTTCATTTCGTATCTATTAGGCAGCTTTGTCGGAACGCCGCAACTACTGCATTGATTGAAGTAAGTACTACACTTGTTTTCGTACCGCAGTATGGTCATGGCCAGGAATGTCCTGGTGACCATGGAGGAGGGTGTGCTGTGCTGCAAACTGAGCGGATTCTGCGGGGCGAGGAGGGCAAGGGAGTCCAAGCCATATGTCGTCCAAGATCGTCTGACATACTTTAAAGGTATTCTACCAACTTGACTAATTAATAAAGAAATATATGCATAATTTTTATGTAAATAGAAATACTTTTCGAACTGCATTGGGTTAATGTATAGGCACTCATAATTTCTTATCATATTTGAAACACGAAAATTGTGATCCTCATCCTCTTTTCTATGTCATCTTTTCTGCGTAACGCTACACTGTACATTTGTTGTGACGTCTTGGTGTTGTTCTACAGGATCTTTGAATGAAAAGATGCCCCTGAGGTTCCTTGCGCCGGAGTCTCTGGCGTCCCAGTGGTTCTCCGCCAAGAGTGACATGTGGTCGTTCGGAGTGTTCCTGTACGAGCTGTTCACATGCGGGGCCGTGCCGTACCAGGAGTTCAGCTGCATGTCAACTGAGGACCTGCTGTTTCGGGTAAGATCTATCTCAGATAGGTCCTATATCAATGTACATGTAGATTGTGTGGGGTTGTGTGGCGTCACGGCAGAGCTTTCGGCTCAGAACCAAGAGGTCAAGGGTTTGAGTCCTGCCAAGTCAGCAATCTTGTGTCCTTGGGCAAGACACGTTACAGGACTTTCCTCACTTCGCTCAGCTGAAAATGAGTATGGCAGAATGATCATTATCGTGATCGTGGGCATACAATGATCATTATCATGATATTGAAACATTTCTTGATTGTGTCATGTATCAATTATGTATGGTTTTCATTGTTCATGATCTCTTCTTCTCCATGCAAACATATTTGTGACACGTGATGATAAGACTATCTTGATACAGACTAGACAGAGTGTTTTAGCGATCATTTGATTTGACAATAATTTATATGACCACTTTTTTGCAATCCGTTTGTGTATGTTTATCGTTGTTTCTTTTGTAGATCGTCCGGAAGGGTCTCCGAATGAAGCAGCCCCGCTGCGTGCCCACCAGCGTCTTCAAACTGATGAAAGACCTCCTGAAGGTGGATGAGTTAGACAGGCCGGCAGCAGACCTGGTACAAGATCAGATGGAACAACTTCAACCGAAGTACAGCAGTTCGGGTGGGTATTTCCTGGTATATCCACAGGGGCATGACTCATTTTCAGACTATAATTGTGTTTACCTTCACAGAAGGAAAATATGTTGTTCTTGCTCTGTTTCTTCTTCTTCTCCATGCAAATCACGTCAATGGCATGGACCTGCTGGATGACTGCCACCATGGTAACTGGTACTTGCATTGCATTACCTTATGTAGAAAGTGGCAGGACAGAGTTGGGCTGGTCGCCACCTATACGGATATTTTTTAGTAAGAATAAACATATCAGTAATTTGATAGGCTAGATCGTGTAGATGCAAATGTTAGCTTTCTGGTTAACCCCTGAATCACTGGCATTTTATTCTCGCTTGCTAGTTAACAATCGCTGTAAATTTCATTTCAGACGATGACTGGAGACCATACCTGCCACCAGTCGCAGACGTTGTTGATGCCTACTCTTGTCAGGTATAGTTACACTTACTGACTCCCTGTCTAAAGTAAAGGTACGTAGTAGAAAGCTGTTAGTACCGAAACATTAAGAACACCATCCCTTCTAATACAAAAGATAAAGTGGGATTACTAGAGGATTCTTCCAACAGTGACAAGTTTGAAGGGTAAGGATACTGACCTCCAAATTTTCGATGACTATCATTCCATCTTGTTTACGGAGTGGCCTAGTCTCGCGGGAGCCCGAGACTTGCATCGGTCTGCTGGACCCTACCCCCTGTTGCCTCCCTCAGGAGCAAGGGTAAGTATGTCTTGGGGAGCTCCCAGCCTTCGGTCCGGTTTAACTTGGCACCTTCCAATTGTATGTGCACCGCCTCCTTAATCTTCCTGTGTGTGTTACGAGACTCTTGGTCTATGATTTCTATAATGTCAGAGATGGGCCTGGTAGTGATGTTCAGTGGCCAGCCTGGAGTTGGTGTTGGCTTAACGCGGATTTTCAGTCTTTCTGGTGTAATGGCTTTTGATGTTCAGAAGTCCTTTCCCCCAGTGAACGCTCAATTTCACCCACGTATTAAAACCTTCCCGAACAGTTCGGAACTCTTCACACTTGATCTTGTAGATCACGCCGCACTTCTCACTGGGTGCTAGAGGGTCCCGGATCTGACCAGGGCGTTACGTAGGGTGAAGCCCAGTTTAGAATACAGGCTCACATTATGTTTGGTGTAAGCGCGTTTCAACCTCTCAGTAACTCCATGTATGTAGGGTAGTACCAAGTAACTCGCTGGGAGTTGTTCTTTGTTTTCGATCGTTCCTTGTTGCCTTTGTCCTTTCTTGTTTTCCTCCTCCCTCAGGGCCCATTCTGGGTTTCCACATTGTCTGAGGGCTTCTCTGACTTTATCCGTTTCTGCCTCTCTTTGGGTAGGGTGTTGGCTCTGTGCATAAGAGTCCTCACTATCCCAAGTTTCTGTTGCGAGGACGTTGTTGTCCCAAGTTGGAGGACCACTGAAAATATCGGTCGGTGTGAGTTTCCTTGCGGAACACATCTGTGGTGATGGTGTTGTCCGGATTCCTGATCATCATGACATCAAGCATGTTGTGTGTTAATGTGATCAAAGAGTTCCTGTTTATGTTCACAGCGCCAGTTCCGTCCACATATCTAGCCCCAGAACTTGGGGCGGTGAGGGGCAGTGTCTAAAGCTTTCCTCTCAATGTAGATATCCATATTGGGTCCTGAGGGAGGGGGGCAACAACTCTAGAAAGGACAAAGGTAACAAGGAACGATCCGAAAACAAAGATAAACTCCCAGTGAGTTACTTGGTACTACCCTACATACATGGAGTTACAGAGAGGTTGAAACGCACTTATACCAAACATAATGTGAGCCTGTATTCCAAACTGGGCTTCACCCTACGTAACGCCCTGGTCAGACCCAAGGACCCTCTAGCACCCAGTGAGAAGTGCGGCGTGATCTACAAGATAAAGTGTGAAGAGTTCCGAACTGTTCGGGGAGGTTTACGTGGGTGAAACTGAGCGTTCACTGGGGAAAAGGACTTCTGAACATCAAAAGTCATTACACCAGAAAGACTGAAAATCCGCGTTAAGCCAACACCAACCAGGCTGGCCACAACATCACTACCAGGCCTATCTCTGACATTATAGAAATCATAGACCAAGAGTCTCGTAACACACACAGGAAGATTAAGGAGGCGGTGCACATACAATTGGAAGGTGCCAAGTTAAACCGGACCGAAGGCTGGGAGCTCCCTAAGACATACTTACCCTTGCTCCGGAGGGAGGCAACAGGGGGTAGGGCCCAGCAGACCGATGCAAGTCTCGGGCTCCCGCGAGACTAGGCCACTCCGTAAACAAGATGGAATGATAGTCATCGAAAATTTGGAGGTCAGTATCCTTACCCTTCAAACTTGTCACTGTTGAAAGAATCCTCTAGTAACTGTATCTATACGTCACAAATGAATCTCTTCAACGAAAAAGATAAAAGTGTTTACTGGTTCTTGTCTTGTAGGAGATCCCAGAGACACTGTTAAAACGTTTGAAGGATCCGGATGCCAGCAGCAGTGACAGGACAAGCATGGCCGACAATGTAAGCACAATGTAGTCATTATATTACTAGTACTAGCTCTAGAATTGAGAGCAATTTTAGCGTCATGTAAAAAGGTACGGTGGTGGATAAGATTTTTTTATCAAGTACATTTTGTGTTTCACCGCATTACACCGATCAGCCTGTCAATGGCTATGTGTCCTGGATTACATGTGAGGTTCTTCTTGCTATTGCTCTAGTCGCTACAGGAATGCTACGATGATCTGTTCCATGACTCTGCCGACAGACCAACGGCAACGGTCCACAGGGAGGTGCGTCCATATTTTCCCTTTCAAGCAGGAAATTAATGCATGTACTATCATACTTAACGTTGTGATACCTTGCTGTGGATTCCACTATGATCTGTATCCTACATCACCGGGGAAGGTCTCATGAGTTATGATGACATACTGGTAGAAGCAATTTTGTTTGGTCGAAGACATGGCGTTCGTGGCTGTGATATGCAGTATCATGATTATATATCTGTTGCAGGAAACGCTGACATTGGAAAAAGTACCAAAGGCACGTGCTTCCGTGGAAACATACCGAGAAATCGGACCTGCTACCAAGGAGTGTGAACACCTGACGGCCATAAAACGTCTGAAGGATCCTGCGCGGAGTGGGGAGGAGTTTGCCTGTCTGGTACGTAAATCTGTTTCTGGCGTCTCAGCGAACCTAAGTCTTTTACCTTTCCTTAGAGTGATTAGTCAGTTCTTAAGTCTTGTCCCTAACTTCATCACTTGTCACTCAGGCCCCCATTTTAATCGGACGGCGATCTCGCCGCGCTCTCTAGATCTATGCGACCTGAAATAGGCAGGAGTGCAGAGAGGGCGACTAAATTCACTCTCTGTCGCTAGCTGTTGCGCGTTTCCATCTCGCCATTCGAAACGCGTCGATGTCACATCCGAGCACATCATACCGTTTTTGAGGGGCAAAGAGGCATAAAACGTATTAAAAAAACAATATTGCAAATTTACAACAGCATCGTTAGAATAGTAAAGATAGTAGAATAGTAAAGATATTATTGACAAAAGAGCCCGGCTTCGAACCCTGGTCAAAAGGCTTAATCCACCAAACACCACAGTATTGACAGAGCGAGCTACACCACTTAAAGTTTGCCTGGTTCTGCGATTTGGCATCGACCGTTTGGAATGTCAACGACCGTATTTGTGAAGGAAATTAACATCGCAGCTGTATAAGTGTTTGATATAAAATCTTCGTCATTTTTTTTGTTACAGTACACCGTGAGGCCCTCGGCCGGGAACCTCCGTGACTACCTGGCCAGTAAGAGCTGCAGCAGCCCGTCTCAGCTGCAGGATTTCTGCAGGGGTATAACTCTGGCTCTGCAGTGTCTTCACGAGAAGGATGTCGTCCACAGAGACCTGAGGCTTGAATACGTTTTCGTGGAAAACGAAGATGGCCAACCTAAGGTGTGTGAGAATCTGCCTGACATAGCTTGTTCCTTTTATTGCTTGTACTTGTACATGTATGAATCTAGTGTCCACCCTATAAGTAACTTGCCACAGATACTACCATACCTCTTGCCTATTTCCTTATACATGTGCTAAGCATGTCTGCTCACTTGCATTTTCGACCATTTGCATAATTGTACAAAATTTGTTTGTATGATGTAGGTTCAGGCATCTCAGAAGCTTCATTTTTTTCTCTCTCTCTACCTCCAGGTAATGCTGGGCCGTTTTGGCCGGATCAAGAAGCTGCTCCAAGGCCCTTACGACCAGGACGTGTCGGAGAGCTACTTTGAATACGGGCGTCCTGGACCAGTCGATGCCAGTAGATGGTTCGTTTTCTCTATATTCAGTTATGGTAATGGGAGCCTGAGTGTCTGCCTTTTTAGCTTTCCACCCATTTCTACCTACCGCCCGGTAGCGGATCGTGTGAATTGAAGAAAACGAAAGCTAAAAAGGCGGACACCCAGGCTAATGTAATGGCTCAGCCAGATCGAGCTGGATCGGGAGCGTTGACGCCGGCTCATGAGTTTTCCACCATCATATACTTTTCAACAAACGTCCCTGTAGCTATAGTTCCAAAACAATCTGCCCGGAGTCCAAAACGGTCGGCTTGGTGCTATGAATATAGAATTATTACCATAGAAACATGAACATTGTAGCCTCAATAATGGCTTCGGCTAGTTGCTTCTCATGCGGCCAATATTAGATGCATGCAAAATATCATCCTCTGCTGAATCACGTTGTATAACCGTGATGTAGGTCCCCTCCTGAAGTCCTACACTTCGGCCTGTACTCCTTATGGAGCGACATCTTCAGTTTGGGCACGGTGTTTCAAGAGCTGTGGCAGGCGTTCGATGCACCCATTGGAGCTCCTCCTCACCTGACTGTGCCTTACCAGGGGATGAAGGCTGCCGAGGTTTGTACCATATGCCACATACCTCAAAAATGAGTGTCATTTTTGCAAATATACTTTGTAAAGTCTGAAGAGCTGTAAAAAAACTGTACGATGGTTAGAAATATTCTATTTACCTCCATGACAAAAGACGTCATTGTTTGTGTGCTATTGTTTCCGCAGATTTGAGTTCAGCATAATTCAAGAAGGTATTTGGGTAGGTCTTAGGAGGACAAAGGTCAAATGTGGGCCTTTATGTGGTACTGCAGCAGAATTATCCGGTTTTTGTATCGTTTGTCCCGGAAATGTTATGGTCTTGATTTTTGGTGGCAGATAGCTTCAGAAAAAAGTTCCAAATATTTCATGGAGGTATGAGATCTCCGAATTCATGTTGTTTCAAATATGTAATAAAGCATGCGTATATGATTATACATGAATGTTTTGTATAACCTTACGTGTTGTGGTGGGATATATATAAAAATGTCTCCTGCTGATTATTTTACAGATCAAGGATTTCCTCGACAAGAACATGCCACTGGAACAGTCCCCCAGCTGCCCTGACTGGATGTTCAAGCTGATTCAGAAGTGCCGGGCCTATCACAACGTGGACAGACCCACGCTGAATGAAATTTTGCGTGTTTTGGAGACTAGGTACGTTATCCTTGACGCCCCGCAATAAAAGAAGTCAACCTAGTATGTAACCAGCAAGTAGATTTCGTGGATTACATCCTCACATACTCCAAATGTAATGCGATAGGCCGGAAAAAACAAGGCGGGCCCCCCCAAAAAAACAAGATTCCTACATTTTCAACTTTTGATATGATAAACATTGTTAAACGAGAATTGAGGCAACAAAATATGATATCACAATCACAGGTCTTCATTCCTGCATTTAACAGTATCACCTGTCCTTGTGGATGTATATGACTCAATTAACAATTGTAGAAGATATTATTTATACGTGATACAACACCTTAGACTGTAGGCATTTGTCATCAAACAGGAGCAATTGTGCCACTAGTTTGCTGGATCGCTGACGGTCTCTGAACCGATAGGCATTTATAACATTTTTTCCATTTTTTTTGTACGAAATCAGGCGAAAATCAATGCGCGCGCGCTGATGTCATCCCTAAAAATTACTTGCTGTAGCCTTACATGTATATGGATTCTTGTGAAAAATTATTTATAATTGACAAATGACCGCCTCTTTAAAGGGACTATTTGTAAGAAAGCAAAACTTTAATCAAATTTTGTAGTTCATATCGCGACTGGATTGCATTGATTTTACGGAGCTAGCGCACATTCATATGCAGGTGACCTGCCCTCCCTCCCTCCCAACCCTGTCCTGCTACTTGCTACATTGTTCTTTTTTCTTTTTCTTTTCCAGCGAAGTTCCCAAGGAATGGCAGGAGGACCCGTCCATGTATGATTATTACGCTCTAGTGCAACTGTTTGGACGAGATCAAGAATCCCTCTTTGACGATTCTGACCCTGACGTGTACGAAGAAGTCGGTATCAACAAGGTAATAGTACAAATTAAATCTACAGCGCACAATCATGTAACTACTACTTGTTGATAACCTACTCTCCTTATGTAGGCTTCTGCTTATTTCTGGCGTGTTTTAGGCGTTTTTATCGCTTTGTTTTCTTACTGGTATCTTTTTTAACGCGAGCCCAATTTCGGGTGCCAAACGGGTAACTGCCAGATAAATGGACACTGTGTTTCAGCCACCGAAAGATTTTGATTTGCTTGGAGATTATCTGTAACCCACACCCTAGCCACCAGACTCTAACTATCATTGGCCAATATTACTAAATCACAAAATTTGGAAAATATAAAACAGAATGAAATTGAAATTTATTACCCCCGAGGGCTAGCAAGAACATGACTGAATAATAAACAGTAAAAATGGTATTAAATAATGCTACCAATGCTACAATATAGTTATTGTTGAGTTTGATTTCTTTTCTGTGTGCAGTGGAGTATGAAATGCCTTGACTCTTTGCTAGATGTATGAATTGGGAGGTGTTAATAGAAATGCAGTATTTTGTCATATTCAAGGAACTCTGCCAATGGCGATAGCTAATATGACCTTAAAGGAGTACTAACCTCCAGAAAGGGGTGCTATATTTCGAGAGGCATTTATTTTTGGAAGTGAAAAATGCATATCATTTTACAGTATATAATTAAATGCCCATTTTGCGAGCAAGCCTTAAAATGCATCGAATCCAGGACAAACTCTCCAAATACCCTCAAAACTATCCCAGAATACACCACGCTACCCCATTAGTGCCTATGTTTTAAACAAAAAGTTACGTTACAGACCTCATTTCGGGGGCGATAAGAAAAATTCGTACCGTTTTGTGTTCTTTGGTATCTTACCAACCATTGCCCTTCTTGGTGTCCTTATCGCCCCTCATTTATGCCGCAAATATTGATGATGAAAAAAACGGCGTAATCTAGTTATCTTTTTCATAAGTGGTGTAATCTAATTATCTGTTCAAGTTATACTTACATGCAAATGAGTTGAGAAACTCAAAACACACAGGATGAAACTGGCGCCCACTGTATTCGACATCATGATATTATAATATCCAAGCCACAGGTCAAGCAAAGTAAAGCAAGTAATTTCTCAATAATCAGCTTGTTAGTGTGCTTGTCTCCTACCATTTTCGCCAAAAAATGTTTATGTTGACCTGAAGTGTATGAGTATTGCGTAAGCCAGAGTTCCCGGATGTATCAATTGTGGTTCAGCATGGGGGAAAATGATATTAATATCACTTTACAAACATACGCCGCGCAACTTGTACAAGCGAAATTATGTAAAAAGTCGGCTAGTTATGTATTCATTGCAGCATGATGTATCGGAAAATAGCACTTCGTTCTGGAGGTTAGTACTCCTTTAAGCTTCTAAATGTCGTATCATGCACTTCGTTCCTTTAGGATCAAGGCGCTACGTGCTCCTCTCCGGAACCCACGTACATGAACCTGCCCTTCTCGGGGCAGCAGGGAACAACAGACGGCCTGGAGGCTTCAGCCGACTCGGAGGAGGAGGACGGTGGTACGGGGGAGGAAGAGGGGGTGCTGCAGGCAGCTGCTATCTGGGCCGAACAACCGGTCCAGATGAGAAGTAAAGCGAAAAATAACCGAAGGAGAACCCGATATAGCATGTGCCACCCTTAGATATTTAGTTAGTGCTTCTGTGTTGACGGCCACTCCACAGATTAAGGCATGTCCACAGGATCACAGGTCAGTGCTTCTAGTGGAATGTTGTATCCAGAGCCCGCCGTGCTTTATCCAGAACCATGCTGAGGCACGGTTTTGGATAGTCCACGCGTATCCAGATCCGCACCTGGGGTAAATATCTGCGCTCTTGAATACGTTTAGACTATACAGAACAGAGCCTGATCACAATAGCCTGGTTACCAAACCTATTATAGCTCCCGACGTCCTACACTCCTCTCCGCAAATAGGATGTAGGACTCGGGAGCTATAATAGGTTTGGTAACCAGGCTAGATCACAACCCTTAGCCATTGATAGAACTAATGGGGCACGGTTCTGGCCGGATACGATAGTAACCTTTCTATAGCAATGAATGGTTGGGTCACCAACAACAAGTGTTATATTACCTCTATATAGTCAACTGCATTATCCTTAATCATCAATATATCAGACATGTAACGTTACATGTATTCAAGAATCCTGCTGGACACAGTATTTCCGACTCTTTTATTTTGGTCCACTGATATGATAACAATCGTCTAACAAAGTATAAGGGCATTCTAGTATCCTTAAATAACAATGGCTTCATGTACTTTTAACTTTTATATGTAATTCGCCATACATTGTATCCGTTACAATTGTTAACTGTGCAGTAAAGTTTGAATTTAGTTAGTTTCATGTTAAGCCATCTTTGGGTTTGAATCCAAAGAACTCAGGATGGAATGTGAGAAAGCTGCTGAAACCTGTGTTTACGAATTCAGGATATTGCTATAGTTTATAAAATCACAACGGATGTGCATTGTACATGTAGGGAACACGAATGTTGGGTTTTGTCTGTATAATATTTGGCGTTGGCGTATATGGTAGGGCTGCGGACCGGTACACTGTACCGGTCCAATACCGTAAAAATCGTTTCGGTACAGGTCCAAAATACCGGATCATGAAGTAACGAGTATATACCGAAATAGCTAGTTTACACCATGTATATGACTAAAGATAGGTAAATCCTACCACAAAGACGAAAAATTAGCACTGGAAAAGACGTAAACACCGTCGATTGATTTGAGATCCTCAGTCTCACGAGACATCGCGAGAGTGTGGCTGATCCAGGGTTGTGATTGGTCAACAAACTCAAATCAGGTCAGAGGTCAGTCATTTTCCCTTCCCTCCAACACTTTATTATTGTTTCTGTGTCATGATTGAAAAAGTGAAGAACACGTGTTAATTTGTCAAATTGTTCAGGTACAGGTACAGGTCCGGACCTGTACCTAAACCTCTGTACCAGTACCTGTACCTGTACCTGATGTTACGTTTAGGTACGCAGCCCTAGTATATGGTTACTCTCCAAGCAGAGGTTGGGATTGGGGTTACTTTTGGCGTGTTTTAGGCTTTTTTTTATCGGGGTTTCTCTTTTGCACTGGAATTTTTCTTTTCACCC